GTGAATCTGTGACCTGGCCGTACCCGTTACGAATTGACTGTGGTGTGAGCAGTGTATTCATTGTGCGTGGCCACGCTTAACAATTAGTTTGAATTCCTCTTCAAGAAGGGGCCCCCATTCTTGCAGCCGTTGTTTTAATTGATAAAATTCACTGTGACAACAGAGAGATACAAAGCATCTTGTGAAACATGCACGTATTTGACCAGTGTAACTGCGAGGACAGAATAAATATAGGTGTAACTAGAAAATAAAACGTTAAAACTATTGTGCAAGCTGAAAAATGAGATTCTGGTATCTGCTAAAGGTCAGCACTCAGCTGATCTTTTCCCACTTATAAGGTGCAGTGGTTTAATCTTTTCTGATTTAAGCAACCTTATAGTTTATGTTATTAAAGATCAGAATCTGGCTGAAATGGGCTAAAATTTAGCATACCAAAAAAGTCTCAAGCCTTCCCTGGCTTCAGCATGCTGTTGCAAGACACGACTCCTTATCGGATCACGTGGCAGTTTGGAGCTTTTTGGAGAAAGGTATACCAGGTAACGTGTGTGATGTGACTGTGTCTTCTTCAGGTGGACTCGCACTACTGCCCCAGCTGCCTGGAAAACATGCCTTCAGCTGAAGCCAAATTGAAAAAGAACAGGTGAAGTTGCTTTGGTTTTTTTGGGGGGTTTTGGTGGGGTTTTTTTGGGGTGGTTTTTTTTTTTCTCTGATCATGACTCCCTATTTAATACATGCGAAGTCCATTCCCATGTTTGTCTGAAAGTCTTCAAAAACTACATTGCTGCTTGTTATGTTTGAGTCTGTTTTGTGGTATAAGTGTTATTCCATGATGTATCATGTGCTGTTCATGACTTGGAGGTTTTTTTAATGTATCACATTATGTTTCTCACTGCTGCTGCTCTTAGTCTGACTCTGAAATCCCCCAAGTTCCTGTGACAGCTTTACTACCCTTTATTGCTAGTGCTGTTGTCTAGGAGTTAATGATCTGTTGGTTTAATGCTGATGTGGTTGTTGGGCACATTTCTCTCACCCTGGGACCCTGCTCAGAACCCTGCCTTGTTGTTCGCAGGTGTGCCAACTGCTTTGACTGTCCCTGCTGCATGCACACCCTTTCCACGCGGGCCACGAGCATCCCTGCACCGCTGCCCGACGACCCAGCCAAGACCACCATGAAGAAAGCCTATTACCTGGCCTGCGGCTTCTGCCGCTGGACTTCCCGGGATGTTGGCATGGCAGACAAGTCTGTCGGTAAGGGACAGTTCAAAAGCAGGAAACTGAGTTACAGCACGTGCCCAGTTTGTGTTTTGAATGTAACAGATAGTCCAGTTAGTTCCCAACTGTACTGTAGACTTGATATCTGTCTAGGAGTTGTAGTTGGAAATTCACAGGAAAACTCTTTGTTGCTGAACACTCATCTGAAGAGCTGAGCTGAATTAGTGGAATATGTGACCCGTGACCCACTTCTGTGCCTGTATTACCTGACTAGTGAGAAGACTGTCAAACTGTTTTAGTCAGTGCACTCTCCCCACAACTGAGATCTTGTTTGTTTGCTTTCACAGTCTTTGAAGCTGCTCAGTCTGACAGCATAAACATCCAATTTATTTTCCATCTCTTTTGTTCACTTAGACTTATTCTAGAGTTGCTAGTCAGTGTTTGGACTTGGCTTTTCTCTTCACAAGAGCACTAGAACAAAGCTTTCATCTATTTTTTTTATATGTGAGATGCACAGAAAATAGCTGTCAGGCTCCAGAAATGGGGTTGAGTAGACCAGGCAGATCCTCTGACTTCCAATATTGATGTGACTGAAAATGGAGCTGAGGATTCAGAGACAGCAGCAGCCAGTAATAAGAGACACCCATATAAACGCACGTACCTGCTGCTGAAGTGACTCCTGGGGGCTGTCCTGAGTATCTCTCAGGCAGCACTTGTTTAAAAACACAATATAAAAGCTCCTTCATTCCAAAGCTGCCTGTGCAGCTCTTTCAGAGATGTATATTTGTACAGACATGAACTTAAACAATTGCAATGGTAGGTGTAGCAAAAATAGGGAATGTCATATTTTATAAATAACACCAAGATAGTTGAGTGTTGGGTATGATTTCTGTGCGGCTTCTGGAAATCTCCTGTGGACTTTGCTTTTTCTCTTCTCTTGTGCAGCAAGTGGTGGCTGGCAGGAGCCGGAGAATCCTCACACACAGAGGGTGAGTGAGCAGGAAAGCTGTGCTTGGGCTGAAATATATCAGCCAGAAAGAACTGTTAGAGTGTCTGGCCCTCTCAATCACTTTTTCTGCATCTATATAATCCTTCAGATCCCAGTTCCAGCTCCTAATCTGCACCTTGACTGAATTCAATGGAGGGAAGGCCTCTTAGAGGCTCCTCTGAGGATATCGCAGTATAAAAATCTCCTTTTGAGAAGAAGCTCAGTTGAAGCCAGCCTATCTAATGGTGCTGTTAAGGTGAATGTGCTGCGTATGTATGTGAAAAAAAGCTGTTTTCCAATCAGAAGTGTGTCTAGAATCTGGAAAACACAACTGCACCTTTAACACCCTTCCCTGTTACCCGTCAGGGCTCCACTCTAAATGTGACCAACCTCGGGGAGGGGGGAAAAGATGCTAAAGATGCTGTTTGCTCTGCCAATCCAAATTGCTCAGATTTGGCCACACGACATTATGCAGTCATGGCAAATTTGTGAAGGGAGTCTCAGTTGCTGAATTGCAAAGTGAGAGTTGGACTCTGGCCTCCAACACACATCATTCCCAAGGCAGGGTCAGTTTGTCACCTGCAGTGTGAGTTAAGACGTGTTAAGGTACTCAGGCTTCTTGAAGTACATCCTGCACAATACAGCTGGTACTAGGAACAGAGTGAAACAAGTAGCAGGAACCCCAGCTATTTCCCAAGCAAATGCTGCAGCTGAGTGACAGTGCTCCCTGTTCCTTTTCCTCCTCCAGATTAACAAGCTGGTGGAGTACTACCAGCAGCTGGCTCAGAAGGAGAAGATTGAGCGGGACAGGAAGAAGCTGGTTCGACGCCGCAACTACGTTCCACTGGCCTTCTCGGTGAGCTGGTTGTGCTGTCCTCTCAGAACAGGAAAAGTCATCCACAGCAGACTCAGCCTGGAAAATTAGATAGTTGGTAGCACGATAGGGCTGCCCAGCTTTGGCTCACTGAGGACAAAACGAAGAAAATTAGGCTTTCTTTAGGGATGAATACTTTTACACTCATTACTGTGTATTACATTGCCACTCTCTCTGGTAGTCCTCCCCAGCTGTACCAGAAGGATTTATACTTGCCATGCCAAGGAGTATGTTCTCCAGCAGTGAAGTGCAGTGTAACTGCAGCCACAGTGCCAGTGGCAGCTCTTTCTCAGGACAGTTCATCCCACAGCTCAGTGACAGATAGATCAGTACTGTCTGATACTTCTCTGCATGAAATCTCTGCTGAAATTAACCTTAAGAGTTGGTTGTGGCTTGAATGACTAGTTTATTGTACCTGGCAGATAAATGCTCACTTTGTTTAGCTGGGTGACTGCATATGCTTGCTACTTCAATGAATTGTGCTTGCTCTGTGCCTTTGCTTGTGTCTTATGGCTGCATTTTTTGTCTCCGTTGCTACCTGCTGCTATTTTGGGGGCTCTCCACAGCAACATACTATACATGTAGTGGTAAGTCTTTTCACAGTTTCTGCTGGTGTTAAAGCTGTCATGGTACCAAGTGAAGGGGAGTAGCAGATCCTACACCCTGCCTCAGGGCCTCTGGCTTAGGTGTGCCTTAAACAAACACAGGTGAAGCCTAACTGTTCAGAGGGTAGCATTTGTTACAAAAAATATTTTATGTTCGTTTAGAAAGAGGGCAGTTTCTTTGAGTAAGTAATGTACACGTCAAAAGCAGTCCTTCACCAAGCTTGGCTGAGACACAGCTGTCTGCTTGGCCAAGGCATGTGCCACTAACATTAATCACCTCATCCTTGAAAAATCACCAGACTAGGCTGATGCTCACATTTCTCATTTGGTGAGAATTCAGGTTTTCAGCCCTGCCCAGAAGGAAGATGTCTTCCTCCAAGCACCTTGGATACAGTTCAGCTGTAGAAAGCTGAGGAGTAGCTCGGCTATTTCTGGTGAGAGAGGCTTGTAGGTAACGAGGCTTGTAGGAGATTGAACCTTCCAGCAGCTTCAGGTAATGCTGCAGAGCCTTTCAGGTGAATACATAACCACATCAACCCACTTTTTTTGGCGGCTGAGCTCTCATTCTATGCTACTTGACATGGAGTTGCTCTGAAGAGAATATCCAGGGAAAAATGTGTCAGTAGTGCAGGCTGGTGATTTGAGGAGGGAGCAAAAAGCTTTATGAGCAGTAGCCACACACATCTGTCTTTTGCCATCTGCAGCGCAGTGGGAATTGTTTTCTCCTTGCCAACAGTTTAAGCAGAAAAACGTATCTTAGGAAGCGTTGAATACCTTTTCCTTTTTGCTTTCCTTTGCTTGTACCCCCATGCTTGTCATGCAGCTCAAAGGATGAGTTTGCAGCCAGTCTTTTTGTCCCATCAGGAAGCAGACGTGAGGGTGACAGTTCCTTTTTTCCTTGTAGGACAAATATGGCCTTGGAACGAGGCTTCAGCGCCAGAGGCCTGGAGCTCCCATCAGTGCCCTCGCTGGACTCTCGTGAGTCTCAGGGTTGGGGTTACCTTTGGGAGGAGGATTGGAGGGGTAGGCAAGAGAGGAGTAAAGCAAGAAAGACGATAGACAATTAGCAGATAGCAGTGAGAGGAAATGTCTCCTTTTAAGCACTGGAGAGGTGTCAGATCATTGGGCATCTCTCTGCAGCAGGTCCAGATGTTCTGCTTTCTCCCAAAAGGAACAAGTGACTGCTCACTCCATTGTTGCACTTATTGTTGTGCAATCTCAGCTCTCGCTGCCTTCTGCGCTGTCACGCAGTTACTGCTGTTGCTGCCCGAGCACATGTGCCCTATTTCATGACTAAGTTGCCCCTTACTTTGCTTTAGCCTGAAAGAAGGAGAAGACCAGAAGGAGATCAAAATCGAGCCAGCTGATGCAGTGGAAGAAGTGGAGCCTCTTCCTGAGGATTACTACACAAGACCAATCAACCTGACAGAAGGTAAAGCCTCAGTATTTTGTCACTTTTTTTGGCCTTACATTTTGTAACATGGGCATTGCCTACAAGCTTGTGACATTCCTCATGACCCAAGTTTCTGGTCATTTTTGTGGTGGGATTGAAATACTGGGAAATACGTGACTTTTTAAATGGTAACTTTGAAGTCAGCCTCAGCTTTATGTTGTACATGGAAGGCTCAGAGCCAGAAGGCCTGAAGGGTTATTTAATTTTCTTGCTGGCCTTAATTTCTGTATGTATGAAGCATCAACTTTTGGATGGAGAAAAAAGAAAGATTATGTCCTTTTTCCAATAACAGCGAGAAATAAGGAAATAACAGCTGCTGGCCAGCCGGAACCAAAAGGGGGCTGTTGAGTAACAATTGCACATTGCTTTGACATCAGCTTGGAATAGCGTGGTACATTTGCCAGGTCTCTAGCTGACTCATAAATTTAACCCACAAATACTGTAAATTGATCAGTAAGACCTGGTGTGAACAGGATAAACCAGCAGGTACAGGAGTGATGTGGGCTTCCAGCTGAGGTGGCTCAAAATGGAATGGATGTTGTTGGTCGTTCTGCAGGTCTACAAAGTCTGACACTATCTATTAATTCGTGAAAGGTTTATGGAAAGGGGTAGATCTTCTTGGTCTCCTTTTCTCATGAGGCTGTTGGCATTGTGAGTTTTGATGCTGGTGAAGAAGACAACTTTCCTGGTTCCCCACAGTGAGGGAAAGGCTGCTAGGTGGCTCACTTGCCTCTTAGGCACTGGAACAATGAGGAGCCTGCATTTTGAGAGAAACCCATAGGAGGTTTTGGCTGCTGGAAGTTTCTTGCTTTGGGAACTGTTTTGTCTCATTCTACATGTGAGTCTGAGTTATGCAAACTCCTTGCTAAGAAGCTGTGTATTGTACTTACGCAGCACCCAGCTGTGAGGGTGACAAAGCTATGAAACTAGTTGGCTGTGGTGAAAGAAAGAACTATGTTCTAATTGATTACAAAACTCTTGTTTCCATCCCAGCTCAGCTTTGAAGACAGATGTGGGTCCCTTGTTTCTCCTAGGCTAGCACTGATGTTGCTCTCATGTTATTGTACCCAGTCAGGGCAGCCCTTTATTCAGCTTTTGCCTTTCTGTTTATTTCTTGAACTGTGATAGTTGGCAGTAGTTTCTGAGTTAACGGGGTGCATGTGAAATTAGATGTCTTAGAGATGGTGAGGGTGCGAGGTGCATATGTAGAATCCAGCTGGAGTTTCAGTTCCTGAGACATTTCTTTGTCTTGCTTTCTATTGTGCTCCCAGTGACGACTCTGCGCCAGCGCCTGCTGCAGCCTGACTTCCAGCCCATCTGTGCTTCCCAGCTCTACCCACGTCACAAGCACCTCCTGATCAAACGCTCGCTGCGCTGCCGGGTAAACAGTTCAACCCAGAGAAGTGCCTTTATCAGGCTCTTAGGACTTGGGTGCTGGGAAATGGGTTGTGTGTTTCTCTTTTAAAAGAAATGGCTCAAATGCTTCTGGTTGTTGAAAGTTCTCAGCCAAGTTAGTGGTAACAGCACTAAGGGGGTGAGGGAGGCTGTCATGTTTCTGGTGTGATGACAGTTGTGAAAGGGGTGTCAAAGATGCATAAAGATACAAAGGGGGTTTGTGCTAGTGCCCTGCCTAGCCAAGGAGTCAAAGACTGTCGGTACAGTTGAAATAAAAAAATTTTTGGTGTTACTAAAGACAAAAGTCAACAAAGAAATTATTAGGGAGAGGCAGTGCAGAATACTGAAGATGTCACTAAGGTGAAGGCAGGAAGAACGTATTTCAGAGAAGCAAAGCAGAGATCTGGGAAGTGAAGACAGGCAAGAGATAAATCCAAGTTCTGCTGTTGGCTTTCTACACAGCCTTTACTACATAATTTGTTTTCTCAGTCATACAAGGATATTTATTTATCTAGATCCTAAAGTAACAGAGCAATATTCTTGTTAGTATTTAAGATGCAGAATGCTTTGCAAATGCAGAATATTTTCTCAGAAATAAGTAATGTCAGGCTTATCCTTTAGTTCAAGAGTAGCCTATGAGGAGATCAGACTTCTATCTGCTTCAGTTTTTTAATGGATTCTGGAACATAGGTCAGGTTATTTGTGCTGCAGTCAGCATCCAGGTGTTTTCAAGACTGGTTCCAAGTCTTATGTTTCTGAGGTTGCACTGGTAGTGCTGGATATGACATTTTGGAGTTTCAATAGCTGAACACATTGATGGCTGCATGCATCCCAAATAGTTTTTATGTGGTGTGCCAGAGGCTGTAATGTTATGGCTGGTGACGTGGCACTTGTGTCTCTGATTCTTCAGTGTGTGACTTTTGGGGCTGACTTAAATACCTTTCTCTCTAGAAATGTGAACATAACCTGAGCAAACCAGAATTCAATCCAACGTCTATCAAGTTCAAGATCCAGCTGGTTGCTGTGTAAGTAAAAAATGGGGACTGGGGACAACAACTCCCTGTTTGTGCTTAGTTAATGCCTTCTATTTTAATTTCCTTTGACCTCCTTTGGGATTGTGTCATCCCTTAGGATGGTGTAATCACCTTTTTATATATTTAACTTATCTGTAATAGGTTTGCTTGCTGATCTACTAAAGATTTCAGCAATCGGACAAAAACACTGTATGCTGTGCCAGCCCCAGACTGTAGTAGGTGTTTGTAGGATTAGAGTTATACAGCAAAAGGACACTTCATTTTTCCTTTTAGGAAAGCTCTAATAGCTTTGCAGACAGCAGCACAGTCCCTTACAGTCATTTGCTCTGTTATTTTGTAGTAACTACATCCCTGAAGTGAGAATCATGTCTATTCCAAACCTGCGCTACATGAAGGTCAGTAGCTTTTCCAGAAATGTCTTAGGCTGAGACATAGCCAGGAGCTGTGAATGGGCATCTTTTTGGAAGATGACATGGTGTGATGTTTGTTCCCTGAGGGCTCCACTCACTCCATTTAGAGGATGCAGGGTTTAAGGGAGTGGCCACTGCATGTCCTTGTCACTACAGCAGTAGATTGCTGTGCAATGTGACATCTGACATCACAAGTACTTGCCCATGTCTGAAGAATAAAAGGTGTGGAATTGAGATCTCAGCTAGACTCCCAAAACAAGTATTTCTTATATTAAGAGTTTTGCATGGCATTGGTGCCTTTCTTATGGATGGGGGGTGGTCGCTGTCCATCCACTGAGAGGATGTGATGCAATTTTTGAATGTGTTGATCGGCTGGAGAAGATGGAGGTGCTTACAATAACGATTAATTTTAGCACAATTGTTTCTTGAATTGTGACTCCTGAATCTCTCCAGGAGAGCCAGGTTCTTTTGACTCTGACTAATCCTGTGGAGAACGTCACACATGTCACATTGCTGGAGTGTGAGGAGGGAGACCCTGATAACATCAACAGCACTGCCAAGGTATTGATTGTACCCTCCTACTGTGTAAGCCCAAGCCTCTTCCCGCATTTACCCTCCCATTTGTGGTAAATCCACAGGGCACACTTTTCATATGTCCTTCAATCCTTGCCAGCTGGGCAGCGTTTTCCTCCTTTGAGCTTAAATTACTGTCACCAATGTAAACAGCAGCTCATGATGTATTTTGAAATTGTGCCTGTTCATTGATATCCAAAACCCAAGGGAGAAATTTATTATTTCACTGGCAGGGTGGTAATCAGGTGGTCCAGGAGCAGAGAACAGCTGAGGATGAATCACTTTTCTGTTAAACCATACTGAAGCAGACCTCAGAAGAGGAGAGCCCTCCCCTCTCCTGCTTGCAGTGTAGCTGGTGATCAGTGTTGAAAGGCTTCTTTCTCTTCGTGCTCTGCTTCAGGTGGCAGTTCCTCCCAAGGAGCTTATTCTGGCTGGCAAAGATGCTGCAGCAGAATATGATGAGCTGGCAGAGCCTCAAGACTTCCAGGATGACCCAGAGTGAGTATCCTGTAGGGATCCTCTCCCTTAAAAACTGATGCTCCTCCTGTAGTTTGAGTTCCTTTGAGAGCATTGTTCCACTTGGAACAATGCTTTGAGAACTTGGCTGACCCAGTGTTCCTGTGTGTTCTGCCTTGCAGCATTATTGCCTTTAGAAAAGCCAATAAGGTGGGAGTTTTCATCAAGGTCACCCCACAGAAAGAAGAGGGCGAAGTGACCGTGAGTTTCAAGATGAAGCACGAGTTCAAAAACCTCACTGCTCCCATCCGGCCCAACGAGGAGGGTGACCACACCTCTGAGGTGATCTGGCTCACCCATCACGTGGAGCTCAGCCTGGGCCCTGTGCTCCCATAGCGGCTCCCAGCACTTGCTCCCGACGGCTGGATGGACTGGCACCCTGAGATGGCACCTGGTGAAAGGTTCTGCCAGAGCTCCTTTGTGATGTGTGGGTGTGCCACGGCCTGGCCGGCTGCCAGGAGGGGGCTGAGGCTGCCGTGGTTTGGGCTGGTTTGTTTTCTCTCCCCTTGTTGTAGTGCCCACTAACCACCACTCCACTTCCCCTCACTGCCACAGGCTAGAGTAACTTGCAGCATGTTAGAGCACAGAAAAAGATCTCCTTCCAGGTTTGCACTGAATTTGTCTTTAGCAACAGATAATTAGGGCTGAATTTGGATTTATCAGCAGGAAAGAACCCATACTGTTTTTTTTCTCCATGTTGGCCCACAAACCTGATGTTCCATACAACTTCTCTTTCAGCCCGAGCAATGCCCTTCCCAGACAAACGTTTTAAGGAGTGTCCCTGCCTTCTACATCCTGGCAAGTTACTGCCAGTAGCACGATCTTTTATTTTGGTTTTCTGCTTCCTCATAGGATACCTCAACTGTGGGGGCTGGGCTTTAGAGCCCTACCCCTCTGGCATATGTAGCTTGCTTAGCTGAGGTGGCAGATGTTTTCACAAAGGAGTTGATTAGTTTGCCTTTAAACTTTAAACATAGTGTACTGTAGCGTTCATGGCTCTGATGGGTAACCACGCCTGCAGTCAGCCCGCTGCATCTCAGCTGGATGTGGCAGCAGGATGTGCTGCAAGCTGAGAATTCGTGTTCTGCTGCAGCTCTTGACTGAGGCAGGAATGCTCTGGAGAGGAAGGGATGCTCCAGAGAGGTTTCCTGGCAGACTTCAGCTCAATAAATGTTGTGTTGCTAGGGGTTATAGCAATGAGGGTATGAAACCTGGAGTGTTAAGATTGGTTCTTACAAATTACAAAAATTACAAAATTACAAATTGTAGTTACAAAACTGCTGAGGTGATTTGAGTTCGTAATCTTTGTTTTTCCAGTGGAGGTGTAAAGGTGGAAACTCGTTATATGCTGACTCTACACACTGTATCAGAAGGTCATTTAGCTGGGGTGTAATTTGGCTGCAGTCCAGGATAAAATGGGTGATTAGGAGCTGTGTATCTAGGAGACTGAATTACCAATAAGTGCATGGCTATTCTAGGCAGGTGAGATGGCTCGTCCTGCAGAGCATTCCCATTTCAGACCTTGACCTATGTTAAACATTTCTGATGGGCTTTGACATGCTGATGTGCTGGGAAAGGCTTGAATACCTGCCAGCCACAGCCATATCACTCCAGATGCTTGTGCTGTGGCTATGCCAGCCTGGATCTGCAAATCCTCTGCATGGAGGGGCAGGATGAGGCTGCCTGTTCTCTAGGGGGCATGGTGCAGCATCCCAAAACATCTCCCTTAGTGCAAGGAACCTGCTGTGGTGTGCTGGAGGGGTTCACACCTCACAGCCCGGTCCTGCAGCGGGTCTCAAAGCAGCGAGGCATCACGTTTACAACTCTGTGTAGGTGACACACAGATGTACAGCATGAGTTTGAGACTTGTAGTTAGTAGTTAATATGTAGAGCTAGTGCCTGCTGCGGCTTTCCCTGTCCAGATAACAAAGGATTTCACCTCTGGCCACAACTCCTCCTGTTCAAAGTAGCCAAAACAGCTGCTGCACTTGCAACACGACCACAGAAAGACCTCCCAGGACCCAAGCCTCGAGCTGTGCCTGGGGCTGGCGTTTGCTGCAGGCAACGTGACCTGCACCCTTCTGATTAAAAAAAAAAAAGGTGCATTGGGCTACGGCGTTCTGAGCGCTCTGATGAGCTCGGCGAGCTGTTTTCTCCCCTCCCTGCAGGTGCTGTAGGCGATAGGAAAGGTATTGGCGTGTCCCTTCCTCTGTCCCCGTTCCCCGAAAGGCGCCTGTTGCCTTATGCTTGACGTCGTGTAGTGACCTTCAATAAAACACACGTGGCTCTCGGATTCATTGCGCTGGCTTTCATTCCAAAGCAATCATTATTTAAATAAAACAAAAAGCGGAGTTCCCCCGTCTATTCCCAATGGTCTCGTCCTCGTGCTCGCCCCTTCTCGTTGCCCGTGGTCTCGTCCGTCCCTGGAGCGCCCCCTGCGGCCGCGGCGCGGTGGTGTCACTGTCCCCTCAGCCCGCCTTTTCCGTCACTGCGCTGGTGGAAGTGTCGTCACTTCCGGCCGCCGCCTGCCGGCAGAGGAGAGGAGCCGCCATGTCCACATCGCTGGGGTCCAACACCTACAACCGGCAGAACTGGGAGGATGCGGTGAGCGGGGGCGGCCGCGAAGGGCTGGGACAGCCGGGGAGATCGGGCCTGGGCCGGCGGGGCCGTGCTCCCCCGCGGTAGCGTGAGGGGCGGCAAGGCCGCGAGGTGCGGGGAGGCGGCCCCGGGGATGGGACCTTCCCTGGGGACCCGCTGCCTTCTCTGGGGACCCGCTACTTTCCGTGGGGACTCGGCACCTGCCCTGGGGACCCGCTATCCTCTGTGGGGACCCGCCATCTGCCCTGGGGGCCTGCCACGTGGGACTGAGCCGCCTTGGAGGGCTCTGCCGCGGTTCCCCGGCCTCCATACGGTACCAAGGGAACGAGCTGCCGCGCCGCGGTTCAGAGGCTGTAGCAGCTGGGAGCCTCTTCCGGCGCTGCGGGGGCTGAGCTGGGCCCCTCGTGTGCCCGCGGCCGCGTCCCTTCGAGCTGAAGCCTCTCCCGAGTGGGCCCAGTGCAGACAGTCACTGCTGAGGGATAATGGGGGCAGTGTCACCTGCTGCAGTCCAGGCACTGACGGGTTCAGATCTCAAGAATATGCTTTTTATTTGATTATTCTAAATTTTACTCCAGGCTACAATACCTTCCAGATTATCATTCTGTTATAATTTGGGCCTGGGTCGTTGCTTGCAGCTCTCCCGGTGTCTCTGAATCCATTTGCATTTTTTAATCTGTCTGATGAGTTAAACGAGAACATTTTCCAGAGTGTGACTTGAATGCTGTTGTGATGGCAGAGATTGTTATAAATTCCCGATTTTCTTCTTGCTCGATTCAGGACTTCCCTATCCTGTGCCAGACATGTCTTGGAGAAAATCCCTATATTCGGATGGTATGTGCCTGTTGGACCCTGCAGTCCTTCCCTCTCTCTATGGTGGCCCTAAACTGTGGGTTTGGGGACTAAAATAGGACTAGGTGCAGGAGGAGATGCTAAAGTGAGCACACGCTCCTCAACAGCTGGTTGTGCGCAAGAGGATCTGGTCTCAGCTATTGTTGGTGTGTAATATCATGGTTAGGGGTGTGATTTAAGAATAGATCAATCAAAAAGGAGAGGAAGATGACACAGTCCAGTGTCTGGAATGCGGAAAGTAGTAGAAAATGAAGTTTTAGTACTGGCAAACTCCAGCATGGAGAACTGTGAGCTGCTTAAATTCTAATTGGTACAATTTCTAAACTGTAAGGAACATGCACCTCTAAAGTTAAAAGTGACTTATGAAGGTAGTTTAAGTTCTTTTTTGTTTTCCTTGGTTTGTTCTGTACAGAGTGAGTCAGTCCATGTTCTGTTGCTTTTCTCTGTCTGGCCTGGTTGCCTATGACCTACACTGACATTATCTCCTTCACATTTGTGTTCCACAAAGTCTACTGAGAGAGATTGGGTTGTTCTTATGAAACATAACCCTAATGCTACTATAGGGGATATTTCAAAACCTGTTTGTTTCCATGAGCTTATTTCACGTAACATCATCTTTCCTTAAAAAGAACTGTTAATACTCCTTTTAATTCTCACCTTTCATATGTACAGGAGGTGGGACTTAAAGTACTCTATTTTTAATGAAAGTGTCTAAACCAAAAGTTTATTGAGAGTATTTAGGATTTCTGTTTTTTATCCTGTTGACTTTCCAAGGTGTAAGCCAAATACACAGGGGTGAATGAGACTAAATGCAGCATACTTATTAAAAAACCTACTTTGTTATAACATCAATTATATGTTTCATGTTTTATGTTGATTTGGTGATATTTCATGTTTTCTTTTATTTTTTTTTTTACGTTTCAGACCAAAGAAAAATATGGAAAAGAATGCAAGGTATGTTTGTGTGGTTTGAAGAAAAAAATGTCAAAATATGTGCAGATCTAGGAATAATACATTTTAATTATTTAAAACCTGTCAGCTTCAGAGGAAATCCTTATCTCGGTTAACTTAAAATGTTTATATAACTATATAATTTTTTAGGTCAGTCTGCTGTGCTTGTTAGACAAAGTCAGTTGGTCCTAAAATAGTAAAATTATTGAGCAAATCCTAAGTCTAGCTGAAAAAATCTTCATGTTTATCAGAACGAGGTTTTGAAAATACTGGTGTACATATTTGAAATTATTGCAGCACTCTAAATGATCCATGTTTTCTTCTGAAATTTTGTTGTTTTTACTGAGAAGTAAAAAATATCTGGAGTTTGGGTTTTACTATGTATGTTATTCATGGCTATTGGGTGATTTGTGTTGCCTATCCAAGAATAAGCCACGATTATTTCCAAGAGCAAGAAGTACTCAGTGTTGTCTGGACTGAGGGAAATTAAAGGAGGTTTTTGCCCTTTTATCACTTTTCATCTAAGGTAGAGAAAAGGTATAATTTGGAGTCTGTACAGATTGAGATTGTGTTATGTACTCAAGCTGTATATGCAGAGGAAGCAAATATACGATTCCATGAGATAAGAGGGAGCATCACTCTTCTGCACCAAAGCTCTCATAACCTCTCCCGAGTTGCTGCTGTGCTGGTGCCTGATGTACCCATTGTTGTAATTCATCTCTAGAAGCTCCACACTGACATCACCTGCAATCAAAGAGAATTTATATATCTTTGAGTAGATCTGCACTTGGATTGTTGCAGTAAATAAAAAGGAAAAACAATAACAACAAAAAACAGCTTCCCTAAAACTTCCTCCTGTCAAAGTAAAGCACCAAATAAATATTTCCTGAGCTCTGAGTCTTAGCTTTATGATATTGTGGCATTTATGTATTTTTTGTTTGAAGAGGCTAGATAGTTTGTTTCCATGCAAGAAGCAGAATGGTAGCTCTGTGCAGCATGAATCAAGTGCCACCTTTCTGTCCCAGATTTGTGCCAGGCCGTTCACGGTGTTCCGCTGGTGCCCCGGGGTGCGGATGCGCTTCAAGAAGACAGAAGTGTGCCAGACCTGCAGCAAGCTGAAGAATGTCTGTCAGACCTGCCTGCTCGACCTGGAATATGGTGTGTACCAAAAAACTGAGCCAAGACAAGGAGCTGGCCTCTGAAATGGGAGTTGGTGAAATCACTTTAAATGTCTGCATGTAATTGGCACTGGACAGAGAAAAACAGGTCTTTGTGATCATGTCTCTTCAGAGGTTCAAGGGCAGAGTGGTTTCCCTGAGCGGCAAATGGTTTACCTCTGGTCACTGCCAGTTGCAGAAATCACTATTTCTACTTGTTCTTCATATAGATTCGTTGGGGTTTTTTTGTTTCATTTCAGGTTTACCAATCCAAGTCCGGGATGCTGGACTCTCCCTTAAGGATGAAATGCCTAAATCTGACGTCAACAAAGAATACTACACCCAGAACATGGAGCGAGAGGTAAGTGTAGCCAGCCATGATCATGCTTTTTGTGTGGCTGTGTGTGGGGAGGAAAGAGGAGCAATGACCTAGCTTCTCTTAAAAGCACTTGCTTGTTGTGATTCTGTGTGTTGGTGTTCAGTGCTGATATACACATAATTATTTTCTTCTACCTGCTTTTAGATAGCCAATTCTGATGGCACTAGACCAGTTGGTGCACTAGGAAAAGCTACTTCTACCAGTGATATGCTGCTGAAGCTGGCCCGAACCACTCCATATTACAAACGCAACCGTCCTCACATCTGTTCCTTCTGGGTGAAAGGAGAGTGCAAGAGAGGAGAGGAGTGTCCCTACAGGTACAGACACATCTTGAACAGTCCAT